TTCTCCTTTTTACATTTGCTTGTTTCTAAAGCTATCTCATATGTTGATGTTTTATGTATCAAGACTCAACAAGAGAATTAGAAGGGGTTGGGCTGCTGCATGCTTAGATCCATGCTAAAATGTATGGCTGTTCAGGAGTCAGGAGTCCCTGCACCATCACTTTCCAGTGATCTTTGCATCCCCAAATCCTCATTGTTGCTGCCTGTTGGGTAAAAGATGAAGGTCAATTGCTGCGTTTGGCCCATGTCATTCCCTCAGGCTTCCCCAGAGCTCCATCTATTCAGGGTTGATAAATTGCCCTGGCATTGTCTTCTGTGTTTGTCAGACGTCTGTTTTACTTCGCCAATGGCTGCTTCCCTCCAAAGAGATCCATATCAGTTTTTCAGTAGCCTTTCTGTATATGGTGGTTATTCTGTAAAGTGTAAACACGCTGGGAGGACTCTCTCTCTCTCTTTTTTTTTATGAAGGAACTTGTGCCTGGAGCAGAACGGCACACATACTTGCTGGACTGAAACTGAACACAACTTGCTAACTTTAGAAACATTACTGGCTTGTCAAATTCCCAAGGCAGAGACAAAGGCAAGTGCTTCCACCCTACAAGCTATTTTCCCTGCTAAGGATTGTCTGACCTGAGGACTATTTGAATGAGAGGATGACACAGGTCAAACACCTCTCCCCTTTGGCACTCTGTAGTCCCCTATGTGGTTGCTATGGAAAAGGCATCTATCTATCTATCTATCTATCTATCTATCTATCTATCTATCTATCTATCTATCTATCTATCTATCTATCTGGCACGCCCAGTGGCTGACAGGACTGAAGACGGACAGCTCACAGGTTCGAATCCGGGAAGAGTGCGGATGAGCTCCCTCTGTCAGCTCCGGCTCCCCATGCAGGGACATGAGAGAAGCCCCCTGTAATGAATCCCTTACTTTAGCTAGCTGCCTGTTGACTGTTCCATATAAGCACCTCCTTTTTTCCATAATGATTTTCAAAACTGAGGCTACCACAGCAGATGAGGACACTACATTTATACAGAAGGCCTGGTAAGGCTACATTTCACTAATATCTTCACATAATCCCATTGCCACCTCAGCAGGAAGGTAATGGCACCCTATGCAGTCATGCTGACCACATAACCTAGGAGGTGTCTACAGATAACGCCAGCTCTTGGCTTAGAAATGGAGGTGAGCACCACCCCCAGGGTCAGGCACAACTAGACTTAATGTCAAGGGGAAACCTTTATCTTTAATCCCATTGAAATTGTCTCTCTCCATGCACAAAACTCTTCAGCAACCTACTATTTTATCTAAAGGAAAATGGATTCCCATGCATTTTCCCTCACAGGTAGAAAACCAGTATGGTAAATGCTATTTTGAGCTAGATTAAACTCAAGCAAAAAAAAAAAACCAAAACCCAAACAACCAGATATAATTTGTGCAGACTTATTTGCTTTAGATTTAGAAATAACATTTTTTCAAAGGAAAAAACAACAAAAATCTCAGTAGCTATTGATTTGGACCTCCGATTATTTATTTTTGAAGTATTCATACCTACACCCCAAAATATGCATTTTTCAAATGACATTTAATTGGAAAATGGTTTGTTGAACATTTAAGAAACCAGTTTACATTTTAAAAGAAACTGAATGACATATGCCAGAACAAAGAGGCAGTTAAATATGACTCAGGTGGCATATATATAGATTGAGGTGAGACAGAAGAAATGGTAGTTATAAAAGATTTTCCTAACAGAATGTAACATGTACATTGCATTCAAACTATACTTCAATGCAGGAAAAACAATCCATTTGGAAAAAAAATAATTTAATCCCGTTTAAGGAGAAGACGTAGGACTTTTATTACTTAAGCATTTATAATCTCAACAATGCAACTAGAGTTGTACAAGTCACTTTTCAGTATACGATCAAACATAGTCTCAATGAATCAGGAGGAACATCATTCTTCAGTACTTTAGCATTCAGGATGGAAGAGCAGTTTAATTTGGCCTGGAGCTAAGATGATATGTGAAACATGTCTTTGACAATATCCTTGATTTTTAAAAAAGGCAATTGTGATAGCTCCACTTCAGATTGGGACTGTGGTGCTTGCAGAAACCATTATTCGATTCCACTGCGGTCTGTGTAAATGGTTCAGGCTGAGATTACATACCCCACTGCTGCTTTTTCAACACCAGCACTGGAAGTACAAAGACACATTTAACATAACATGGCCTTTAGAGTCAGAGGCACCTTTAATGTAAAATGAAACCAACCTTCCTTTGCTTTCTGAGCTATTGATGACACAATGGTGTTTCTGGATCACTGTTACGAAGCTACATTGAAACATGGAGAGAAATACACAAATGTCTACCTCTGTCTCAGAGGTCTACTGTAGCCACAAAGCGCTTGCATATGGTCAATGGGATTTTTAGACTCTCTCCTCATCCTATTACACTACAAAGGTATTTTGGAACTCCTCAGTTTCACAAAGCAGACTGCTCCATAACAAATGGTTGCATGCTAGAGTCTGGTTGAACTCAGTGCTCTGTGTGGGCCAAGTTGTCCACAGTTCGGATCCTGTCCCTCTACTGTGAAGGAGATACAACATTACAATATACCACATATTCATTGGCAAAGCTTCATTTTTCAAGCAGAAGCTGAAGAAATGCTAGGGTCAGGATCTCAAGATGTCTTAAACCTACTGAATGGCATGTTAAGTCTTTCCTTCGACAAAACACACAAACTTCAAACACTGAAACTCTCCTTAAAATGCATTTCTTTATAGGAGTGTGCTTGCTAGGAGTGTTCAGTTAAGTATCAGGACCACTAAAGATGAGTTTGCAAAATTATTCCATTTTAGGAGCATACTCTTTCAGCAGTCTTAATGCTCAAAAGTTCCCAATTCTGATTTCCACTTTGGGAAGTCTGTGTATCGTACTCTGGAGGAGTTCCCTGACTTCTCCCAGATGCTACTCCTGAAGGATAGAAGACGTACAGCATGGGAACTTTGGACGCTCACAGAAAAATGAAGTACTTCCAATGTCAGGAAAAGAATATTTAGTCATTCTAATTCAGTATTAAAGGGAATTAAAAAGGAATAGTCATCCATATACCTGAGTCATCCCAGTCATTATCTTTTCCTATCTGTATGCCATGAAAACACAGTCGCTTTCCATTTGATACATTTATATATTTTTTTAATGAGCAGCACACTTTTTTTGCAATGGCATTCGGCATGTGCAGGTTTTACAAGCGCTCTTGCTAATATTCCAAACAAACGAACTGTTGTTTTGTTTTTTTACAAAAAGGTAAAGAGTAAGTTAGAGCAAAATAGACATAAGTAAAGCAATTTACAGTATGTTCACAGTATATGCATTGTGTCCTTTTCTTCAAACCTATCCACTTTTGTGATACTCTCTCCCAACTCTCCTCGGTTCTTCTCACAGGGCAAGTACTAACAAGACACAAATTTATACTTCATGATTTGAACACTCCTTGTCATCTAGTTATCTATAAATTTATGAAAAAAAATACCCCCCAATAGAATTTCCCTGTGCAATTTTCAGTAACAGAGGGCTAGAGAAACTCTTCTCAGTAACATAAATCAATTCAGCACCATAAATGAACTTACGCATTTAGGAGATAGCACAAATTTGGTCAGAACAAGCAAAGACAACCAGAAAGTTACACTTTTACTTGTCCTCCATCAAAAGGCAATTTTGAAACACCCATTTGTGCTAGTTTCGGTGCTTATTAGGCACATGAAAACACGTGCATTTCCACCGGCACAAAACTAAGTATCCTTGTGTTTGAGAAACCAAATGGATACTGGTAACATTATCCCAAATTATCAAAATCAAAATCATGTAAATGTTGTGCTCCGTCTGTCTTAGGGCCAAACTAGCTTTCCACCAAGAAAGGCATCCATCAATGGAATTGGGACAGAAGTGACCTGCAATCCTTCCCCCTTTTCCACATCACCGCATTTGCCCAATTTGCTCTAAAGGCATGGAGTGTTGAGGGGATATGTAGAAAACCATATTGGGTGCCTAGACAGAGCCTTCTACCAGTGAATGAAAACAAATGAAGATCTGACAATAAACTTCACTACAGTAGAGTTAAACTCTGTTAGGTACACAGTAATTTTCTTTTACTCCCGTGGATTAAATTGAAGAAGGGCTATCTCAAATTCAACCATGGCTCTGCTTTAGATCTGCAAAATCTGAATCGGCATTTTATGATATTATGCATGTGTCAATTTGAAGGTGAAGTTTCAAGGACCAGTGTTTAAAATTTTGACAAAATATGGTAGGTTGATCTTAGGAAAAAAAACCAAGAGTGGCTTTAATGCAATTTAATGATTAAAAACAAAAAGAATTACAGGTGCCGTTAACCACCATTATAGGTACTGCTGTTGATTTTAAGTTATTTTAGAAACTGAATATATATAATATTCACAGATGTTCGACCCGTGAGTTACAATGAGCACATTTTAAGATGTTGAGTAACTGAGTTCCATTTAAGTATGATACTTTTATTGAAGAGGCCCAAAGGACTGGCTCTAAAATTTGCTTCCTGCAGATGGGATGGGACCTTCTACCTACAGAAGCCTTCTGATGCAGTGGAGCAAACTCACTGATAGAATGGGGAGACATTAAGTTTTTGTTGACCTTTCTTCCCATATAACCCCAGACCAGCTTCAAAATCTGGGGCAGTGGGAAATTGACAAAAATACCTCCCCACACACAGATGCTCCATACCCAGATAGCTTTGCTGCTGGTGAAAGGGGAAAATGGCCCAACCCATGGAGTATAATTTAACTGAAGGACAGAAATCTCTAAATCAAAATATTACCATTTGCATTTTATAAAAAGTCAGGAGTTTTTTTTTAGAAATACATCTCATATTGTTAAACACTATTAAATATCTGTGTTTCAAGACGCATAGCATTCTAATGCTCATTAATTTTTGTATGACGTCTCACATTGTATTTAGGTGGATTACACTTGTAACTAGTAACTAAAAGTTTCAGAAAGACAACTGAAAAGTTGTTTCGGATTTAAAATGGTGGAAACATCTTGAGTGCCATAAATAACCAAATCATTCTTCCGCTTGAGAAATACTGCCTTCCAAAACAACTGCAGGCAATTTAACAACACAATTATAATGAAAGCCCTGCATTTTATGTAACAAAGATTCTCCAGTATATAAAAAAGAAACATTTGCTCCTCTGGGTCAGTAGAATTGGTTTAGAATATTAAGTACCACTACAAGTGAAATTAAGACCACACATCTGCTATGTTTTCAGTAAGATATAGGAGATTTGACCTCTTCCCACCACAAAATGGCTGGATTTTTTTTCTTTTACACAAACCGCAGCATGGCATTCCTTCTTTGTTTTCCTAACCTTTCAACAGAAAAGCCCATTTAATCTAAACATTATCCCATTTTTCATCTGCTTCCCAGAAAAAACTCTCTTCTGTCAAAAGAGGCCCCGAGAACAATAGCACTAGTGTCACTCTGGCGCAGACAGACTCACACCGCGGCAGGAAGCCATCCAAACAGGTTATCAACAGGACTAACCTGGACAAACTTTGGACTGGTTGTTTGTGAAAGGTTTAGACGTAATCCGTAAAAGTCTACTACGAATAATGGAACACTCATGTTTAAACTGAAGAAAGAAAAGGCGTAAGGAAGAAAACAGTTCTGAAACTGGGTCCATGCTATATTTGGATACCGGGATAGCCATGAGACTCAAACCGTTATTAGTCGTCTTATTTAGTTTCCGTTTCAGAGGCTTTATAAAAGGTTCCCATTTCCAAAGATGTTATTGGGGTCCACAAATTGCTTTACAGATTTCAGCATCCCAAAGCCAACGTCAGAGACGCTCTCTTTCAGCCACTGCTTCCGTAACTTGCCCACTGGAAGGAAAAAAGAAGGGGGGGGGACCTTTTAATATTCACCATAATAGCAGCAGCCAATCAATCTTGTGACCATGAATGAACAAACACTGGGTGATAAATGCTTTTATTCAAAAATGAGAAATGTTTTGCTTTATTTGATTTATTGAGCCCACCAGACTATCAAGCTCATTAAGCTCAATGTACTCCCAGAGGAAGCCTGTGTTCCACACTGCCTACTCTCTTCACAAAGTATGAAATTTAGATAAGGTTTAGACGAAGATGATGAGTCACATCAAAAATAATTAAACTGAAGCTGCAAAAAAAACCCAGTATTTTAAACCTTCTCAACAGGAAACTTTTACAGAAACACCAACACTTGCAAATAACTATTTTTGTTCCTTTCCAGTTAGGATGTTATATAATGAGGCTCGACATGTTGAGTTGTAAACATGGAATATGCAAGTTGGATGTACTTGCATATATACAGTTATAATTAAAAAAGAGACCTCTGGCTAGCAAGCACTTCCAAGAGTGAGATTTAAAAATCAGGGTTGTTGTAGGTTTTTTCAGGTTATATGGCCATGTTCTGGAGGCATTCTCTCCTTAGGAGAGAATGCCTCCAGAACATGGCCACATAGCCTGAAAAAACCTACAACAACCCAGTGATTCTGGCCATGAAAGCCTTTGACAATACTTTAAAAACTCAGATTGCAACCTCTATCTACATTTGGGAGTAAGTCTTGTTGAACTTAGAAAGACTTCCTCTTGAGTAGAAGCCAAGCTAACCAGCCCTATGATTACATAATCCAACCAAAAATATAATCTTGATGTCTTCATTTCTAGGCCTGTGCCTATCCAATTGCATTGGATAGACCACATCTGTTTTAGTTTCTGAGATATGGTTACCATGGGTTTCCATAGGAGCCAATGAAGATTGGTAGATGGCATACATTCTTATCTCAACATTTAGAGCCGATAGGAGGAAACTGGTGACATTTTTGGAATCAGCATGTCAAATATAAACAGAAACGGGCCTAATATTTCAGGCACCAAAATGTGTGCTGACCAGTGTAATTATTTTGAACCTCATGTACACCCAATATCATAACCATAGCTGTTATAACCTTTTTATAACTGACTATATCCTAAATAACAACAAATATGAACGCAAACTCAATTTTCCACCTTTCGTGACTATATGCACACACACACACACACAGGACTTTCTAAAAATAAATGACCTGTGTTGTCATTTAGGGACTTAATTCTTCCAATAATTCAAGTCTTGGCTGAAGTTTTAACCTAAAACACAATTCCTTTGTATGAGGTGAGAGGCCACCACATTTGTCTCTCTGTGAAGTATTTGAAGCTAGATTCAGCCCATCTTGCACGGTCTGTTCTCAGGGTAGCTGAACTGTCACTGGAATAATTAATGATGGGGACACCAGTGGAGAGCAGATTATTTTTGTTTCTGTCCTCTGAGGAATACAACCAGGTTGCAGAGCTACCCAAAGAGAAAGCTGGAATCTCAGGAAAAGCCTTGTGTATTGTTTCAATATTTGTGTGTTGAAGAATTAGCCAGCCTGGTTTATTATTTTATGTTTGCTGTTTCATTAAGCAGGCTTGCATCTTCCTGCCATCATCGACCTGTTCCCTAATAGGGTGACTTTAGAGCCGATATGCCAAGGACAGGAGAGGTCTGTCCAGTCCAGTCACCTCAACTACATCCAAATCTAAAAGGACAATGAATAGTGTATGCGATTATCCAACATTATCTGCAATATTGTTTCATCAAATGCATCCTGTGGTTATGGATGTAATTGTCTAAAAAAAAGAGAAAGAAGTGAAAACAACTGGCCCAACAAGATGGAGCACATTAAAGCCACAGCAGGATGTCCGACAGCGAGCATGCCTGTCTTTTCCCCACCTCCAGTAATAATGCAATTCCACGAGGGACTGAACTGATGTCTGAGCAGCCACCAAGCAGCCATTGCATATTTAATGAAGTCGCTCGCCAAGTGCTTGGAAACAGAAGGTGCTGGGAGTGCATCATTAGTTCTGTCAGAGTGATAATTTACACATCTATCTTGTCACATTTTCTATGCTTTATACTTTTACAATAATAAATCTAACATACATTTGATTAGCGAACCGGAAAGCAAAAAAAAAAATAAACTGTATAGCGGACATTGGTGGCCTTTATGAACATATTTGATGAAAAAAAGTTAACCCATTGATAGCAAGGAGTGAAAGTTCCTAACTGTCAATGAGAGGAAATGCATGTGCATGCATTAAAGGGGCAGAGCACTTCCTATGCTCATGACTAATCATGTTTCCACTTTAAAAAGTGGTAACACGCAATTTGATCTTCCTTGGGAAAAATGTAATCATTGCCGCATCGAGGGTCATAAGATCTATCATTTGATCAAACCAACTCATGACAAATCATTCAGCAAATGTCCACTATGAGAGCATGCAAGCTGGTGCAACCATTTTCTGTGATATTTGGTAGGCAATGGTTGTTTCACACAATTATCAGATAATGCTGCTCTCACTGAGCAAGTGGACACATGTGTCAACCAGAGGAGCACTCACATGGTGGACCTCTAATTCAGATTTGCTTTTGTCTTTCAGATAGTACCTGCATTTGACATAGAAATCAACCAGATACAGAGTCGGAGAGTGTTGTCAAAGGAATCAGGGACAGGCTCAGCATTATGAACATCATCAATGTTCACGATCACTCTTTTGTTCTTTTAGCCGTTAGGTTTTGAGATTGCTGTTTATGTATTATGTTTTATTTCTGCTGTGTTTTGTGTTCTGTTAGCCACTCTGAGTCCTGTTTGGAGAGGGGGCAGGATATAAATAAAGTTTATTATTATTATCAGGGATCCTCAAACTAAGGCCCAGGGGCTGGATACAGCCCTCCAGGGTCATTTACCCAGCCCACGCTCAGGGTCAACCTAAGTTTGAAATTACTTGAAAGCACACAATAACAACAACAATCCTATCTCATCAGCCAAAAGCAGGCCCACACTACCCACTGAAATACTAATAAGTTTATATTTGTTTAAATTGTTCTTTGTTTTAATTATTATATTGTTTTAAAGTGTTTTTTGAACTACAAATAAGATATGTGCAGTGTGCATAAGAATTCATTCATATTTTTTTCAAATTATAATCTGACCCTCCAACAGTTTGAGGGACTGTGACCTGGCCCTTTGTTTAAAAAGTTTGAGGATCCCTGGTTATTATTATCTACAGTAATATTTTCTGTCACTTGGTTGTTGGACCGCTTACTATCAACAGCTTATCTATCCTGGTCACACACCAGTATATAAAGTAGCTCTTGGAAACCTGAATCTCAAAGGCAAGCTGAATACCCACTTGTTAAGTGGGTTAAATTAACCAGTATGAATATTTCCTATATAATAAGGCAAGGCCTTAGTTATCACCTTGCATGCATAGATCAGTTGAGCAATAGTTGTTGAATGGTGATGAAGTAAAAAATCATAATGGCCAAGACATTTTAATCACTAGAGTATGAACATCATTTAAAAATCCAGAACATCTGATGAGAGTTTGAGGAACCTTTTGACACTATAACTATCTTTCTCCTTGGTGCATGGATTATTAAATATCTAGGAAAAATGAAAGGTCTTCATGAGCTGAAACTTCTTATCTTACCACATTTTGCCAATGGTGAACTTTGATTTGTAAAACATAGATTTAAATCCTTAGCCCTGACACATGTTGACAACTACCCTATAATGCAGACTGCTGACAGCCAATGGTAGGCTTATCTCAGTGCAACCTGCCAATGCTAACTCTAGATTTGGCATGGGCCCTAATCTCCACGCCCAGTTTTGCTGACATTTGGGATATTATTGAGATGAGACTAAGGATCATATAAGAAATCCTCATATTGGCTCTAGAAAAAAGTGGGAGGTGTCTCTTTATCTAATTCTCATGTGATTAATTCCTACTTTTAGGAGGAACACACTACTGTGCAGATCACTGGGAGGCGGAAATAAGGCAAACCTTCCTTGTTATTTCAGCTTTCAGGCAACACTACATGTTAACTCTCCCCAAATCATTAGGTCTTGTGCAAGACTGGCATTCAGGTGGATTCATATACAACTTTAGTTCAATAAGTTACGTAGGTTTGAAACATAAAGAATGGTAGAGAACAACTATAGATATATTAATGTAATTTGTAGTGTGCAGTTGCTTCTCTTGACTTGGGATTTCTTAAGATTTGTTTTCCCAGCAGGTGACTGAGTCTGAGGAATGAATAATTACAACCAGGGTTCAGTGATTTTAACAACTACAGCTATTTAAGGTTTGTAGAATAATATCTGCTGGTATAAACTGTCCAGTTCCTTCCTTAAAAACAATGAGTACTACTAAGACTGAGTTAAACAGGCGTTATGTTCCTTATAGCCTGAAGTCCCAGACTACATCTGTTTTGTTTGATACACAAAACCAGAGTTAAAATAGCTCCATTTATCACTACATGATTGTAGGCAGACAAACCAGGCTGTCTGTTTCCAGATAGGGAAGGCAACTGTTATTAATCACAATTATAGGGCAAACACTGAAGAGGAATTGCATCAATATTTTCTCTTACCCACACAAGAAGTAAAAAAGCAATGTTGAGAATGTCATGGCAAGGCCTGAAGGTCAGTAAATAATAACAATACATATATACACTACTAATTTATTTCCAAACAGTAAATTCTAGTTCAGGGAGAACATTAAAATGCAGGATAGGAATGTAGCACACAGCATTAGGGAGGACTAACACAGAAATGCCCCTGGAAAAGACAGAGGAAAGAATTAGCCACTGGCTTGTAAACTCTGATGCTGCACCATGTGGCAGTCTTGCCAATCTCAGAAAAGAGAGCGGGAGGGGGCCTTCACTTTCATGTTGTGGTTAAAACTTGTACATGCTCAGCCCTTCTGACACTATCATGCTATACACATTTCTTCTATTTCTATCCAGCCCTATCCCAAGGCTCTTGGCAGGTAATCAGTATTTTCTAATGTTAAGAAGATAACACAAGTCTACACTAGAATGATTACCATACCTAGATCTGGCTGCTAAAAGCCCACTAAATGGAAGAAGTCTTACAGATACTGTGACTCATTTATAATATTTTTTTTTCATGTCAGGAGTGACTTGAGAATCTGCAAGTCACTTCTGGAGTGAGAGAATTGGCCGCCTGCAAGGATATTGCCCAGGGGATGCCCGGATGTTTTACCATCCTGTAGGAGGCTTCTCTCATGTCCCCACAGGGGAAGCTGGAGCTGACAGAGGGAGCTCACCCCGCTCCCTGGATTCGAACCGCTGGCCTTTCGGTCAGCAGTCTTGCTGGCACAAGAGTTTAGCCCATTGCGCCACTGGGGGCTCCATGCGGTGGCTCATCTCAACGTTGTGACCTGAGTATGTGTTGGGCATCAAACCTCATTGTCAGGTTGGGGAAGGCTGTCCAGAATGTTTGCCTGTCATTTGTCTTGGGGATTGCTTCAGATGTATGGGGCTTTTAACTCTTGTAGGCATGCATGAAGAATTAGCAGTAACCAAAAGGGACAATGGAGATGTTTTCAAATTGTGTGCTACAAGCCTGGAAAATTAGTGATGGCTCCAGTAGCTCAGGGAATCTCACATTTCTCCTGCCACAAGTCAGAATGTTTTATTGAGCCTTTACAGACCACACATTTTGTGTGTTTACTCATTCCTTCATTTCTCCCTTTCTCTTGCTACAGTCTATACAGATGTATTAGACCAACTTGACTATCATCCTCAACACGGCTAGTGGTGAATGAAGTGATTGTGCCATTTACATATGGATGAAAGCAAATTGAAAATGGTTGCCTGATATCTATCTATCTATCTATCTATCTATCTATCTATCTATCTATCTATCTATCTATCTCTGTGTGTGTGTTAATTAGAGAAAGAAACTTACATACATTATGGTTTTTATTATAGTTTTTATTTTATTTTATTTTATTATGGACTTATGGTTTTTTATTATGTTTATTGATGTTAATTGTAATGATTTTTTAAACCTATGTTAAATGTTTTTAATGTTTAAACTATTTTTGTACTGTTGTGGGCATCGAATTGTGCCGTTTTGTAAACCGCCATGAGTTGCCCTCGGGCTGAGAAGCGTCGTAAATAAATAAATAAATAAATAAAGACATCCTCTTGCACTACTCTCCTATACTTGTAACAGTCCCAGGACACAAGGGCTAAACTGGAGCTTACACATACATAGGTAAGAGCAAGGGGAATAATGTTTAATGGCTGGAGAAACAGGCTTAGTATCCATAACCATATTTATATATAAAGGCTTTTACTATCTCCTACAAAATGAAGGACTGTACGCCTCTGTGGGAGACTAAATATTGACTTTGGAAACATTATCACAGTGATGGCAGGATATAAATTATAGGTGCTAGATTTTTCTTCTCCCCCTCCCCCAATACCAAAACAAAACCAAGCCCTATCCATATCGTAATATTTTAAAAGGTCCTGTTTATAACAAGAATCCCCTCACACACAAAACCCATAATCTATACTCGAATTTATTAAAGCAATTGTACATTTAACCTTACAATACTTTATACAAAAAGCTGCTGAAGATTTAAGTACTGCAGACAGAACAAACTAGAAATGATAAAAGAAACAATACCTCCATGATGATGTGACAAGCTTCCTCCATTAGCAAGGATTTCTTCTCGAGCTGCCATCTGAAGGCCAAGATAATTTCCTCAATTAAATCCAGCAAGACAATACACACTTTACATTCACTTCAGTAGCAGCATAAAAGCAATGTACAGCAAGGTGGTTCACATATTTTATGGGAGAAAACACAGCTTATAACTTTCAAAGTGTTTGCCTTCTACCCACTTTTCAGGCAGGGATAGGTACTTCTGGTCCCTTCTACACTACCCTTATATCCCAGGATCTGATCTCAGGTTATCGGCTTTGAACTGGATTATATGAGTCTCCACTGCCATATAATCTGGGATAAGGAGATAACCTGGGATCAGATCTGGGATATAAGAACAGTGTAGAAGGGGCCTCTGACTGTGGGTGTTGGACTACAGCTCCCATAGCCCTGGCCAGCCCAGCCAATGGTGAGAGATCATGGGTGTTATGGCCTGGAACTCAACTTAAAGCTTTTTGTGGCTACTAAATTGCCCATGTCACATGTAAACTGGGCGAGGGGTAGCAGTATTGTTACTATAACTAAGTATTACATGCATAATGTGTAACACGAAATCTCTATATAGGTAAAATTACCTCTATTTCTTCATAAACACGCATTGGGTCGCTCAGTCCTCTGTAGTTAAAGCCCAGATAGAAATAGACACAAGCACCAGCATCATATGTCTGTGTCACCCTTTTTAAAAAAAATAAAATAAGTTATAATTAAGGTACATGCCACTATAAGACATTTTAGTGTCTAATTGCACTCACTGGAAGCAAAGCCAATGGGTAAAATAGAAAAGGCTACTGGAATACATTAATAAAACCAGAAGTCTTAGCTGGGGATTTTTTTTTGGCCATCACTTTGTCACTGCTGGCAAAAGAAAAAGGCCAACTGTTGTTAAAGACCCCTGAAACTTGGGATCAAGCTCTACACTCAAGAATTTTCCATTAACAGCAAGTGACGTCAGCTGAGCCCCCAATTCAGACAAATTAAAATCAATAATATAGTATCAGCCACAGAACTGCAATAAAACAAAACAAGTTTCGAGGGTCTACAGAATATGTTTTCAATCAAGATGCCTTACCGACAGGCTGAAAAAGGTGGAAATTGGACACCTTTCTCTTTGCATTCCCTTGCTATTCTTTCTTTTACATTTCGGCAGAGATCTAGAACTCTGAAACAAAAGACAGAAGAGAAGGTTTTTTTTTTTTACATGTTCATCTACTTGATTCTTTGCTCCATTTACAAATAGACTTTTGTTTATGAATTATGCCAAAATAAAACCTGCCAATGGCTTTAAGGACTCTATATGTTTTGATCAGTCAGGGTCATAAGGATATACCATAAGTGTCAGAGAGATAAGGTTCAGTTTTGCTTGTTTGCTTAATACAAGTAGTTATGGAAGAAGAAGTAGGAACAAAGCTTTAAGAGGATTTGAAACAGAATATAGTTTATATATAAAATGCTTTCTTTTTCCTATTCAATAGGGAAATGAATAGAATAATTCCTTTCCCATGACTTTGACGTTGGTTACAGTTGTTTTTAGCCTAGTACAGAGCAGTCTGGGTAGTTCTATTTTTCAGATTCTCCTGCTAGTTAGCAAAAGGATAACTGGGTGAACCTCTTGTAACAAAAACATCCAAAAGTCTTTGGGCTCCCTAAATACTAAGATATTCATAATAGCATGAGATTTCATCAACTGTAGCCCATGTCACCAATGTAATGAAACATTGGTCATAGGTGTGTTTTTCGTGGTAAAAATCAGAGAGAAATTAAATGCAAAAGTAATGACAATAGTTGCATTAGTACTGGCTAATTGCACATAACACAAATATTCTGGCACTAGGTAAGATAGGTATCGTATGAAACCATTATCCAATAGGAGCCCCCAGTGGCGCATTGGGTTGTGCCGGCAGGACTGCTGACCAAAAGGTCTGTGGTTTGAATCTGGGGAGTGGGGTGAGATCCCATCTGTCAACTACAGCTTCTCATATGGGGATGTGAGAGAAGCCTCCCACAGGTGTCCCCTGGGCAATGTCCTTGCAGACAGCCAATTCTCTCACACCAGCAGCAACTTGCAGTTTCTCAAGTTGCTCCTGACACACAAAAAAATCCCAATTCAATCCTTTGAAGAGAAGACTATCCAACCAATTATAGCTCTGCAGTCTCTTGCTCTAATATCCCTTTGAAGCTGAGACAAATAAATGAACTCCAAAGCAAGAGTCTCCTAGTATTACAGGACCAACAAATGGAGCCAACTCTCATGGTTTTCAAAAGACTACATGAACAGAGACAACCAGTCATTTGTTTATCAGCTCTAAGCACAAAAACAGAACTATAATCTTCTGTTCTTAAATGAAACTGCTTACATCCAGACTCAATATTCCTGGTAAGAGCACTCAAGGCTTCCAATATGGCATTCCATTCAGAAAAAGTTTCTTCTAGCAGAAAAGGGGAATGAAACTTTCACCTTCCCCTCCCTTAATTCTTGTTTTAACTTCCAATGCCCAAATGAGTTGTCTATGATTGGCTAAATGTATAACATTGTTTTTTCCAGTCTTGGAAGACTTTAGTGATCCTTCTCATATGCCATACAGTTTTTACAACAGTACAACCTCAATTCCAATACAAAACATTTTGTAAATTACATACATTAGGTGACTGTGTATGGTAAGAAAAAGGAGTTCTATGGATCAGAAAATGCCATTTTTACCTATCCCAGGGAACAGATGTCTCAAATGATTCTCCTATTATATAATAGTCCAAGCCCATGTCCTGTTAAAGAAACCGGAAAAGTTTCAGATTAATATCCTTAAATTTATATTCCTGTAGAGTTGGTGTTTATTCTGCTATTATGCATAATTGTAATGAAAATATTCCATCATATACATTTGCATTTCTGACAAGCTACATTTGTCTGGAGGACATAAACCAGGCATGCCATTGCTAAGTTTGTTCAATCCTAATTACTTTGAACGCACATGGAGACTGTCACCCTTTAGGCCTCAAACACGTGGTAGAGCTGTGCCGCTAGATCAGGTAACCTTTTTGTTTAAGTCATTTGTTTACCCTTTTGAATTCTTGGTGGGATATGTCACATTTTACTCCAAAATATCAAAGGAAGCATGCGACAACAACACATAGATATGCAACTATTGGCAAGTACTAGTCATCTGTTCTTCTTAAATGCCTCTTACACGTGCTTAACTTCCTCACACTTGGTTGTTGAATATTCTACAAATGAAACAAGGATTCTTACTTTCTTTGTGTAAAATAGTAGGGAAAATATTAATAGTATCAGAAACCTATAGTGATCATTTCTCTGCTTATGAATCACCATGACCCAGCTGTACTTATCTTACTACTATGCTGCAGGGGGCTTATTCTGGAGAAACCAGTGTAAGTATTTACAAGGCTGGCAGGGGATTGGACTGGATGACCTTTGTGGACTCTTCCAATTCTATGATTCTAAAACATCCTGTCCTGTCCTGTTTTATCCCTCCTTGCACAACAAAGCTCAAGGAAACTTGGAAACTCCTGAGGGAGCTTAATCTCCTTTGGCCATTGACTGGCTACAGGAATGTACTCAGATATCATCCAGCTATCCTTGTTAACCTGGCACCACTGATGCACAACAACGGCAGCTTCCATTTCTTCCTAAGTGCAGAAGGGCTCGGGACAGTTCACCCTCCTCCCCATCGTCAGCATATTAACCTGGCACATCAGCATAATTAATGGATTTCTGCCCCTTTTTGCAATACTGAAGGGGGCTAGAGGCCAGCATGGTAGATGTCCCGAACAGATTATTTATTTGTTTAGTTCGTACATTTGTATCCTGTCCTTCTCACCCTCCTGAAGGCGGGGGATGGGGGGGGATGGGGCTTAGGGTGGCCTCACAATTGGCAACCATTAGATGCCCAAACAAGACAATTATAATTACAATTTACATTTAATAAAATCATCAAAATATCACATATAAATACGTCCAATTAAAATTACGAAAGTTCAAGTCATAATCCAGGTCAGTCCATTGTCAGTCCAATAAATCATTCTCATTGTTAACACTGTGTCTGCTGCTTGAATGCTTGGTCCCACAACCAAATTTTAAGTTTTCTCCTAAAGGTTAGGAGGGAGGGGGCTGATCTGATTTCATTAGGGGGGGTGTTCCACAGCCGGGGGTCACCACCGAAAAAGATTAAATGATTCATCGCAGGTTCTGTGTAATCCAGCCGTGTTTGGCTGATATAATGCACAATGGCTTCCCCTTAAAACCTGCTGCTCCTCTCCCCCATCTGCTCTAGGAGACAGATTTTGGGGCAGGTAAAAGGACACAGACTTTGACAAAAGCCCAGAAGACTGCAGTTTCTTTAATTCACTTGGGATACAGATGTGTTGCGGCAATTTTGAATTCTGTTTCTGCTCTGAGGAAGTAACTTGGATGTCCATCCAAGTTTCATAGCTCAGACACAGCTCAAGTTGGGAAGTACGCAATCTTTTAGTGCAGATGGATATTAGCAGAAAGAATGCTTCCCCCTCCCCCATTTCTATATCAGCCCTTAAGCAGGAGAGTAACTGTTTAAAAGAGCCACAAGCAGAAGCTCAAATAGAGAGAAAAGCAGTGGGTTAAGTTTTTGCCAACTCTCTGCACCAGAAGAAACTGCACTGAGTTTGACTGAATAACTGAATCAGATGATTGGAGCCTGAAGGTGACTATTCAGCAGTTGAAAATAAGATGTTAGTGCATTTTGAGCCAGTTTTCTTCTAAGCCCAACCTCACTGCATCATTTGTCATGGATGGTGTGTGATGATGTCCAAATACAGTTATTTGTTACATAGCATTCAAGAAAGCAACCCAAACTGCATGATCTTTTAAAAGTTATGAGAGTGCTGATCAGTTAAAACTGGGATTTTTTCCCCAAGCAACATTTTTTTCCTTGATTTATTTCAGACTTGTGGTTACATGTAGCTGAAAGGGAAATACAATTTTTGCATCTAAACAAACAAAATTGATATTTTTAAAGGAAAAGCTTACCCGAATGTAAGCAATAACAAAAGTTAGCATATATCCTCTCTGCCCATTGTCTTCTCCAGCTGCAAGACCACTGCAATAAGAAGACAATAAAGTATTATCCACTAACTATTATAGTAAGAAACATAACATATATGTTTCAGATTTACAATTTGGGTAGGCAGATTATGTTAAATTTAAATTTAATGAATAAAAACATTTTTAAAGCTAACAGATGAAAAGCTCAGTAGCAGGAAAATTCACAATTAAGTAAAACAATTTAAAAGCATTTACAATACTAATCACTTCTGTGGACTTTCTCAAGTGATGCTTTGTTCAGTATCCATAATAAGATCTTGAGAAGCTGTGTGTGCATGTTCTGTTTCTAGTTCTTTGGCAAGTGACAAACCACACACCTCTGTGTGTGCATGTTTAAGTGAATATGTGTATGTATTCCACTTAGATATGTGCCTTCAAATCACCTGTCAACTTATGGCAAACCCATGAATTTCGTGGGTTTTTTTTTTTTTTTTTTTGGCAAGCACAATTCAGAAGTGGTTTTATCAGTCCCTTTCTCAAATATAGTCCACAGCACCTGGTATTCATTGGCAGTCTCTCATCGAAGTACTAGCCTGGGGTGACGCTGCTCAGCTTCCAAAATCAGATGGGATCTGGAGCCTTTATATAGCTATAGTGAGGATGCAATTGTGATGTGTGATGCAGGCATGTAGCCGGGAAGGGGGGGGGGGCTTTGAGGGGCTTCAGCCCCCCCCCTGAAATTCTCATGGTGGTTCTTGAAAAGGCCTTACTGGTGCATTATTTAACTGTTATGTTTATTCATATCATGATCTGATCACCATGCTCAATATATCCCATATGCATGGGGGTATTGGGGTAACGATACAAAAGGTTTGCTAGGGTAGACCCTCTTTCACTCAGACTCAGCCCCCCCAAACAAACTCAGCCCCCCCCCAATCAAAATCCTGATGTGATGTGATGATCAATGTGTTTACATTTTGAAAGCAGAACTTATAGCACATATTTGAACTTCTATGGGAGTTTTCCTTTCTACATCTCTATAGCCTACAGCACCTGATATTTGCTGCCAATCTCCCATCCAAGTATTAACCGGAGCTGGTCCTGCTTAGCAGCCAATATCAAATAAGATCTGGTGCCTTAGGGCTATTCAAGTACAAAGTACCAAATCATTGGCTGGAACAAGGTGTTTGTCCAGCTTTATGCATTCATGTGCTTTGGAGCCAGGAGCTCCAAGAACCGATAGTAATACCTTGTCCCAAGTATTACCTTGTCCCAAGCTCAGTTTATAATTTCAAAGTCAGAAGGGAGGCAGAAGAAACACCTACAATGAGTCCATGTTTAATGGAAACAACAACAGCAGTGATCAGACTAATAATCTGTTTACATGAGAAATAAAGTTGTGACCTGGACAAATATCTTCACCATGGTTACCCTGGCCAGTCTTGTAATCAATCAAATCAGACAGATGCAAGCCACCCTATCATTACTCAGCTTGCAATGAAAATGAAATCTTTTCTGTTTCTTTGTGCCAGCACAGAGCAACTGGTGACAGGAGGTGGGTTACATATAATTAATCAAGTTCTGTTGATTAAAGACAATTTCCTTTTTAAAACAGGCTTCCATGATTCACAGCTCCAGTCAATAAAACACAGCATTATACCTTAATCTCATAACACTGCCTCCCTTCGCTGTGTTAGGGCCTGTTTGTTTAGCGTCATAAATGCTACTTTCCTGACTTTCAGAGAAAAGGGAAAGCTTTTAAATACCAATGATTTCAGTTGGATTATGGAGAAAGTTAAAAAAGAGTAAAAAAAAGAGTATGCTAAAGAAAGTTCAAGTTACTATGAATACTTTTCACTGCATTCTTACATTCAGGAAAATTAAATTCTTTCTTGAATCCATTCTCACTTTTTTCAAATGGTTTTACCTTACTCAGAAATGCATGACAACCAAGGATTTCCATAAAAGAACATTTTTATTGCTAACTTTAGCAAGATATTTTATTTTAATATGGTGTTAAATATATAAAATGTAATTTTGAAGTCATACCCAAATTTTGCAGCAATATCATAAACTTGCTTTTCATGTTGAAGAACCTTCTCTCGGTCTCCCTCAAAAAGCAAGGTAGCAACACATAACAGATTGGGATCAAATCCTTTGAACTGTGAAAAGAGACATCTCTGTTATATGGGTAATATGTACACACCCAAAAATGTTTTTGAAAGTTACTCTCTTTATTTCCAATGTACTCATTTTCATATAGTACTTTCAATCAACTCCTTCTAGGGCAAATTCGCAAGCATTTAAGGTAGAGATAGCAGTAACATGAAGCAGCTGCCCATCACTTCTATATTTCTCTGGAGAAAGACGATTTCTTTCCTCTGCAGCTGGTGGAGCAATTGCACAGGTTGGTGATGCAGGATGGAGGCATCTGTTCTTCCTCTATATTGAGAATCCTGGGTGCCTGCAGCTACTAAGCTACTTATCTAAATGCAAAACTAATTTATACTGAACCTCTAAGTTCAAGCATGACAATAATGTTGAACCCAGACACGCATTCCACGCAATAGCTCTGTCACTGACACTAAAGAAACGTTAGAAATTAACAATAGGCAATCTTCTCCAGATGTTTTGAACTACAATTCCCATAAGCCCTAGCTTGTGCGTTAGGCTTGGTGAGAACAGATAATTTGGTTAACATAGACCATACTCTGCTGATGAGGAACTGCCCAAGATAAAATGGAGAGTATGAGACTGCATCCATAGGCTGAAAAGGCCAGAGAAACATGCTTTGATAACCATAGTTGTGTAATGCATAAGTCATGACAGATCAATCTGGGAGTACTAGGGACACCTTGATTTCAGCAAACAATTTTGATAGGCTTCCGAAAATTACTTTTTAAGTTATTAAATACTACAATGTTGGCTGGGACACAATTATTGTTAGATGGGATTTGCAATTATCCAAAGAGTACTCTGTGTCCATGTAGTTGGAGTTCGAAAGGATTTTCCCCTGGATCCTATGCTGGTCATGATTGTAATAAAGGAATATGGATGGAGCTACAGCGGTGAAGATAATCACCTGTGCAGATGATTCCAAGCTAGGAGAGACAACATACTCTAAAGAAGACAAATGAAAAGGAGCACTGGGCTGAAACTATTAAGATGAAATTCCTTGATGGGTGTGAGGTTTAGAATAAACTTAGTTACTGAAAAATTGAAAGATTACTACTTTAATGGTACTGCTAGATTCTATGCTGAAAAAACTACTGAAGAGAATGCATAAATCATGACTTCTAGACCACTGCTTCTTAGACTACCTGATAGGGAATAAGCATTATTGTTTTTCCAATGGTCTGGGGAAACTCTCCAATGGCTCAGGGAACAGCACTGATGGAGCACTGTTCTCTAGATCACAACCTTTATGCAAGAAACAATCAGTTGCAATGTGTACTGCTTTGAAAATAATGTTATACTAATATAAAAATCTCATATACACACACACACATTTCTGCACTAGTTCTAAAGAATTCAGATCACACAGAGTTAAGTTTTCATGTACCTTCCTCGCTAAATCCCCTCATCAAGAAACAAAATATAGTAATTAGCATATTTTAACTGCATTTGTAAGTTCGCTTGATGGCCAGTTGTTGTAATACTAAGAACACAGAAAATACACATTTCAAAAGCTAATGACACATAGATAAGAGCAACATACTGTACTCATAAATGCTAAAGCTCTTTTCAAGAATGCAGGAAGTCTGAAAAAATCATTTTTAAAAATCATAATCATATGAAGTCTTCTGCTAATGACTTATACTCTGAACATGATGAAATGAACTTAATTTCGAATTTCTTGATTCCAGGTATTTTTCTTTTCCCACTGAGATCATTTTGCTGAAACATCTGTGTAACCTTCCTTAATCCTTTTGTCTTTTTTGGGCTCTTTTGTGGTAGAACAGATGTTCATATCTTAAAGTTTTAAATATCACATCAAGGTAAGAAAGGCATGGTGATAATATACTTTCTTTCTAGCTATCCTAGTGGCTGTGGTTGAGGTATGTAAGGTGAAGCAACATTATTTTTATAGTGCCCTTTTGCTTAAAAACGGATATCAATATGGTCATAATTTGCATTGGTTGATTGTTGTGACTAGAATACCTTTGTGATGTAGAACTTTTTCAATCCATCCAAAAGTGATGTAAAAATGGAGGCAACCTGTGGTTTAAGAGCATGTCCTTGGCGGGGATGGAGGAGGAGAGAAAGAGAGAAACTTGTAAGACAACCACAAGGTTTAGATTTCTAATTAGAGAAGCACTGAATGGCTTATGTTGTTTCTTAAAAATTCCAATAATATTGAGCTAAACTGAATATTCTAGCTATGGTCAACTCACTGAGATCAATGGAACAAGCATACCTTGCAAACATGTATCAGTAAGTAACATACACATAGACCTCAAATTAGGAACCTTTATGATTCTATCTTCTGCAGTGTGAGTTTGGCCTTCTACCAATATTACTGAAGGTGACAGACACACGTTTCCAATTTCAACATTGACTTAGTCTCCAACTTTGTTATTTTCACCTGATGCCCCCCTCCCAGACTCATGGCATGGATTGTTTATTTTTATTTGAATGTAATTTGTAAGCTGATGCATTCCAGCCATCTGGTGTATTTTGTTTTAAGGGCAAGCCCCAAGTAATTTTAAAAGATGAAGAATTGCCAAGGGGTGTAGTCCTTGGGGAATGTGTGATATCAACAATTCAATACTGTGTACAGCTGGATTCTGTGGCAAGTTCCCAAAACTGATTCCTCCTGCACCCCATCCCAAAGTGAAGGCTGCATGTCTGGCTAAAGTGATGAGTGCACTTCCTCACTGGGACCATTTCTAACTTCCTGGAAATTCTGTATCCACCTTTGGATGTATATATATAAAGTTTAAAACAGCTAAAATGGACTAGTTTCTATGAATTTTGATTTCTGAAATTTATAGTTAAAACCAGAGTTTGAGCACAACTAATTGATTTTATAGACATATGTAGCACTGAAGAACATTTGCTCATTTAGGTGTTACTTTTTGCCACAGGACTGTGCACAATCAAAATTGTGATGCACTTTGTTTTCCCAAAAGGTTCTTCAGTTATTTCAGTTCACAATTTATCATACCTGCTTCTTTACCAGTCTGGCTCAGAAATACACTAAACAAAATTATTATGAGATTTTAATTCAATCACAGGCTACTTTCTGCATCATCTAGTTTTCACTGCTGAAGTTGCATTGGAAAAGTGTATAATACAACACCCCTTCCTTATTGTTGGACACTAGGGATGGAAATTAGATTCCATTGGTCTGCAACCTCTAACAAGTTTTTCCCATTGTGAGGAATGCTGGGAGTGGAAGTCAAACTAAATACCTCTGCTCTACACTGTTCTTCCTGGAAGAGTTTTGAATGTACTCTTCCCAACACCTGTTGTGAATGTGGCTCACGAAGGGGAAAACAATATGGTTTCAAACAACTAAAAAACAATACTCCTCTTCTGTTTCTTCCTTCTAAACTAGCCAGAAAAGTTGTGAATGTATAAAACAAGAGATTACATTAATCTAGGAGGAATAAGGAGAACATATGTTATAATCAGAAGATGTTTATTACTGGAACAGCCTTTGGAGAAGTTGAGCTATGACACATATTGCTACAATACCTTATGCTTAAGTTTACTTATCAACAGCTTTTGTTTCTATTTGACATCCTGTTAAAGTAGTCTGATCTATCATATCAGTTTTAAGTGATTAAATCTACATAAATGTGCACATGAATAATAGCACCCAAAAACTAACCACACTGTGATTTTTTTAATGCACACGTGTGAGTATCAGCTTGAATGAAGCACAGCCTCCTTCTGTGAGAAAAGAAATGTTTTTAAACAGATGGCAACTGCTGAGCTGAGCAATCCTGCTGGCAACTACCTTGGGGTGAGAGATGAGGAGAAACTACAAGGAGACCTAAGGCAGACTAATTCATTTCCATTTGGGAAAGTGGGCAGTCACTCCTTTTGGACATCCTTCCCAATAACTACTGTGGGAGGGGACTATACCAGCCTCCGGGGGTGCCACCAGATCTTAATAATGCATGGTAGAAAACAAAAGCATTGTATGTGAATCAGAATCAGAGCTATGGGTGGAGAGACAGAGGGAAGCAAATGATTCACATGGTGTGATATTGACACCTAAAGTTAGAAGGAACAGCAAAATGTGTGTCATTAATTTACAAAACTAATGCTCAATAAATTTAGTAAAAACTTACCAAATTGAAATTGTTCATTGTCCATAAGGCGAATGGATGCAGGGGCACATCTCTACAACAACAACAACAAAAGTTGCCTATTAATACAGAATAATGCCAATATAAAATATAGCAGATTGAATTACGGAAATGTTACATGACATATCTGGTATTGGACTTAGTATTGCTGTGCAACCAATAATTAAATACTGAACTTTCTTGTGGAACTTTAGGTTTCTCATATAATGAAAAAGAAAGACAACGCAGTAGGAACTATTAATCCCAATTAGAGCAGAACTATTAAAACAATATGATTTGAATAAGTGTTGATTTATCAGTTTCAACTATTCAATGGCTTACTTCTGTTAGGATTAATAACCAGATTTCATGCACAAAGGGCAAGATTTACAAACGTAAAATGTAAGCAAATAATAAATAATAAAGCTTATTGTTATTATTATTATATCAGATCAGTATTTGCCTTTAATAATGTGCTCTGGTTCATATTAAATCCAACCTCAAAGGCTGCAGAAAATGTAGACATGCCTGAAGATCCACAAGGGCATCTATACTGTAGAATGCATGCAGTTTGGCACCACTTTAACTGCCATGGCTCAATTTGATGGAATCACGGGAGTTGTAGTTTAACAAGGCCTTCACTACCAAAGAATGCAGATGCTGCACCACACTAGAAATCCCAGGATTCCACAGTATTGAGCCACAGCCGTTGAAGTGGTAACAAACTGCATTCATTTTACAGTGTAGACACTTTAAAGCAATGGTAAAATAGGGATCAGCAGCCAGAATTTAGTGAGTACCTTTCTAGGACATACTGGATGTGTTAGTTTTTAAGGTAATGATAATACACTAGGAAAACTAGTAAACCATAATTGTTTTAGATTTAAAAATATGAAGTTAAACACCAGATTTTTTAAAATGTACATCAACCAGAAAACGACTCAGAGCAAAATAAATTGATTGTAACAAACAACAACCATAAACATGTCTAGATAGAAGTGTAAATGCTGTAAGAGAAACCAAAGTTATATATTTTAGGCAAGGAAGAAAAGAACAGAAACACCGATTTTCAGAAAAGATACAAAACAGATGGCCAATGGAAACTGTGTAACTTGAGAATATTCCCGGAGAACAGGAGAAGCTTTGGGGAACAATTGATAAGACAGTTCCTAAGATGTGTGAATAGGAGCATGGCTACACAGCAGGGTTTTATTTTCCCATCTTACTCTCCATATTTCCCTACATTTCCTGAAAAGCAACTCCTGAAGGTTTTCCTCCCCCTTCCACTAGAAAATATACAGAATGGATACAAGTAGAAATTTCTTCTGCTTGCCTTCATGATCTATATTTATGTCATCAGGCTCCAAAAATATATTTCAAGGTTATGTCAGGCTTTCTGTACGCCCATCAAAGACAGCTTTGTATAAGTTGCTTCATAATGTACAGGATTTTTTAAAAAAAGAGAATGATTCAAATGTATCCTTTTTATTGTCTCAGTATTTGCTGACCTGCTTCTCCCCTTGCACATCTCAACCCAGGAGATGTAATGTCAACTATTATATATCTTTCTATGTTTGGGATATTACTCAGTTCACTGAAATGAAGTTAAAAGACAGAGCAGCACCCATTGTTTGAGTCTGAAATATATATACCCTGATAAATAAGATATTGCTCAGCCAGGGATATAAAAAAGCATTGTTCTGGAATTCTGTTACTATTTGATTCGCAATTCTTTTGGAAATTGGTGTGGATTTCCAAACAACTGCACTCAAGCTACCTCAATGAGTATAGTTTCACAAAATGCCAGGAATCTCTAGCAACCCAGTCTTGTTAAGAACATTTGATGCGCCAATCCATGCTGCTCAAGACAGGACTTTCTCTGTGGCTGTAAGCAAGCAGACTCCTTTCTTTGCTTTGTTCCCTCCCAACAAACCGGAAAAGGAATTCAGGGTTTGCTCTTGGCTTCGTCCCCATTCATGAGAAGCCAAGATTGCCATGGAGCTTTTTGTACCATATAAACACACCTAACATACCATTCCTTAACATAATAACTCACCTATGTTATTCAAAGTACTGAAATAGCCTATTTCATATATAATATTTGGCATTTTTTCATTTACGCATGAAATGCATTTTAAAGATCAGCATGTAGACACTGATGCCACCTCACAAATGCATTCCTCCTTTATGCTGCAAAGTATCATGGGAAGGAAACATTTCATACTTCCAGTGGTACAAAGTAGTTCTGATGTAAGAAATACCATTCCCTAGTCTTTCTGTACTATACAAAACATAGGTTTGATCCAAGCTTAATCATAGTTAGAGCAGACTGAAATCAAAATGACTTATATAGTCATGACTTATGAATGAAAATGGCCAAAGAAACAAGCAAGCTCTTAGAAGTGCCTGAATTTATTAAGAATCAATACACTTCAGAAAATAGGCTTCCTTCTTCAGGAGTCTTTTAAAAGCATATAAAATACATCAAACACTAACATAAACACACAACCAATTTATAAACTGTTATAAGTTACAGTATAAAGCTCTTATAAAATAGACTATTACATAAGAACAATCAATGTAGAAATCTATCATTTTGAAAGAACGTTTACATTAACTAATAAACTGAGACCAATTTTACAGTTAAGAACTAATACTTGTTTAGTTGTTGGTGTGAACCCAACGTCATACTAACGCCTCAGCACTTGCATAATAAGTCAATCTCCTCCCCTTCATGCCACCCAAATTTGAGGGGGAAAAAACTTTTGTAAATATTCTGTGGAATTAAACTGAAAATGAGAATAATCTAACACATCCTTAGGGCCCTTCCTAGGATTTGATCCTAGGTTTTCTCTTTATCTCAGATTATCTGACAATGCAGACTCATATAATTCAGTTTAAGGCAGAAAACCTGGGATCAGATTGTGGGATACAGGGTCTATCTGAAAGGCCCTTAGAAAATCCTACAGCACTCAAGAGAGGAACTAATAGGTATTGGAATATACCTACGAGTAGTCATCAACTCATCATTACTGAATGACAACTAGGCTGAAATATATAGCAGTAGCAGATAGTTGATGTCTTCATAAAAGCCCCATTGAATTCAAGTGTAATTTAAAATTCAAACTACTTCCTTATTGACTTGCTAGAAAAATAATCTTGAGGTTACATGATGGTCTATATTAAATAAGGTATAACTTTTTATTTTAAATACTTTTCAGATTTCCACATGCATGTTTCTTTAATCTTTGAGTCGGATAAACACAATATGAACATTCAGAATCTATCCTACACTTATGCTGCTGCATATGGAAGTTGTATTGTCAAGGGGACGATGAGCCAACTGACGTTTTGCGTACTTGGAATGAACCACGTCCAATCATCTGCTATGTCTCATGGAACCAGAGGCACCTGGAAGTTCCCCTAACTTCAAGCATTGTCCCTACAACTTCTTGTTCTTTTAAAAACAATGAATTCTGTGCATTCTGCACTTGATATGTCCAAAGATTATTAGTGACACAATTGTAGATCAGGCTGAAAACTTAACTTGATTTAATTTTGGATGCAAGACCATCTATTTCTTCTCTTACCATGAATAAGTCTGAATTCAAATAGGGGTATTCAAACAACCAAAGTATTAAACACTACCCAAGTACAATAGGAAAAAAGGTTTTTATTTATAGTATAAAAACTGAAACTCACAGAAATATAAGATCTTGATGTTCTATTTAACCATCTACTTGCATGAGGAAAAGCCTTCTTACAATGTTATTTCCTGCCTCAGAATGAGGTGAGTGGAGTATTAGTGTGCCATCTAGTGAAAGCATTCAGAGACTGCTACTTTCAAAAAAGTGCAATTAAAATACAATTGAAGATAAGATTACTTTACCTGCTTTGCTACTTCTCTTAAACAGGCCACCCCTCTCTCAAAGTTTGGAAATACTACAGAGCCATACTTTTGGTATTCAGGGATTGGTCGAATTTTTATTGTAACTTCTGTTACCACTCCAAGGGTTCCTTTATGAAAAGAGGAAAATAATCATTTTGCTAATGCAGCTGGAATTACTTATAAGAGTTCACGATTTTACAAGGCAAAGTCTAGAATCCTATTGCTTTCCATTCATTTGAAGTCATTTTGGTTAAATTAATTTTGAAAACCATATGGCAGTTTCGCTGAATTCTTAAAACATTTCCCGCTTGAGAACCATCAAACAGGAGTGTACAGTTAATGCAGTATTTCTCAAACTGTGAGGAACAGGCTTCTAACTGCAAAAATATTATATTTTGAAAGATCATGTATTGCAAAAGTTTAAATTAATTGTAATACACTGCAACAGCCAAACATATGTAACAGGAGAATGCAATAAGAAAACTTTTTAAAGGCCCTAGAAGAGAAAGTTCAATGCAAGATACACATATGTGGAAGCATTCAGTCTAAGTGTTTTCTTCAGATGGGCTGCCCAAGTACCAATATGAAGAAAATGAGCTTGTACTGTTTGTTATGAAGGACAGCATTAGGGCATAGTCCCAATTCTTTAACAGTTTTAACTTAGATGAGAAGAACATTTGGTCCAAAGGGCAATGGCTGAACATCAGAAAAGTGAATGATGTATGATGGGAAATGACAAAGAAACGAATGGAAGCAAACAAAGGGGCATAAAGAAGGGTTCATGTGAGAATAATTACCTCCTCCCTGCTTTGTTTCAAAATAGTTGATATACTTTTACTCCAGTCCACTTGGTCAACCCATACATCATAAACGATTATTAACCAACTGAGATTAAGTATGATGTCTAATTTGAGATGCTAGTGAGTAATTAGCAACCAAGAGACACAGGCTACATTCACACAGTGTGATAAGCCATGGTTTCCACAACCAATGAGTAGGAGCAGCTACACAGACCACAAAGCAAAGCTCTGGGCCCTTTTTCTGGTTGGGTTGCTGTGAGTTTTCTGGGCTGTACGGCCATGTTCCAGAAGCATTCCCTCCTGACGTTTCACCCAGATCTATGGCAGGCATCCTCAGAGGTCGATCTTCCGGAGAGGCTCTTCTCTCGCTCCTGCCCGCATCTCAAGTGCGACTTGCGGGGATGAGGGAGAGGGCCTTCTCTGTGGTGGCCCCCCGGCTCTGGAACTCACTCCCCAGAGATATTAGGCAAGCCTCCATGCTAGCAATCTTCAGGAAGAACCTGAAGACCTGGCTATTCCAATGTGCATTCAGTGATTGAATGTAAGAAACTCCCTGATCAAACTTTGCACTAAACGTCCTTAGAAGCACTTTATTTATAGTTCGTGCAATTGAATCCTCCCTCATTCTCGGATCCTCATCCTGATGATCTGCACCATCCTATCCCCCAGAGTTTTTAAAATTTTAGCCTTGAAGGTGGCCCTGCCCAGTGAAATCCTCTGTTTTCAATTGCATGTTTTCAATTGTCTGTTGTTGTCTATTATATTTCTTTGCATTTTATGTATTTTATTTTCTGGTTATTGCTATGTTTTTGTATTATAATGTATGTACTGCACTGTTGGGCTTGGCCTCATGTAAGCCGCACCGAGTACCCTTAGGGGAGATGGAGTGGGGTATAAATAAAGTATTATTATTATTATTATTATTATTATTATTATTATTATTGTGCGGTCTGTTGGGAACTAGGCAAGTGAGGTTTATATATTTGTGGCATGTCCAGGGTGGAAGAAAGAACTCTTTATCTTCTTGAGAAGAGTCCTCTGTGTGAATGTTTCAATTGGCAACCTTGATTAGCATTGAATGGCCTTGCAGGTTCAAAGACTGGCTGTTTCCTGCCTGGGGGAATCCTTTGTTGGGAGGGATTAGCTGGCCCTGATTGTTTCTGGTTGATTAAGAGGGAATAAACATGATCCGGAAGTCTGACAACTGACAGACATATTAAGCCAAGTACAAGGTGAAGTTCTGTGGTATGTTTAGCTGCTCCTACTACAAGTAGGAGTAAAGTGACTGGCATGCTCCAGGATGCCATTCATTCCTAACAAGTCAGGGTTTTTCACTTTGTCGAAACACAATGCTTACAGAGAGGTTCATGAGCCATGGATTGGATTAACTTCAGCTTGACATGATTTTTTTGACTTGGGGCATCACAGCTATAAGCTGCTCTTTTCTCTGGTGGCAAATACACTCAGAATGTCAGGCAAAAGGAAATGAACATCCTTCCCCTTGTGCCCCAATTGGCAGCTGAACACACTGATGCAGCTGCTAGATGTTAAGATGGGCCTGGGGAGGCATTCACACAGTCTTACATGAAAGCTACATAATCTTACTGAATATGGAGCAGTTATGGATCCGTAACTCTAGGTTACAAATCCACTGCTGCAAGACAGAACACCAGCCACAAACTCCAAAATGCAGAAACAAAGATTATCCAATTCTGCTTTAATTTTACCTTCAGAACCTAAAATGAAGTGGTGGATGTCAGGCCCTGTTGACATTCGTGGTCCTTGACAGCTTTTTTGTATGACGCCTCTTGGAGTTACCATTTTTATATGAACCACCTGCACAAAATAAGATATTCATCTGAAATTAAATTTAAATAGAAATGTACAAAGCAGACAAACACTGCAAAGGTTCACAATACTTCCAGACCAAACTTTTATGTCACTGTTTGAAATAGGCAATCTACTGTGGGAGGATACCACTGGGGAATACCTTTCTTTTCTTGTCCCCAAGCCAGAAGAAATGTTACTTTTCTTAAATATATGAACTGAATTGAATTGAATTGTACCTTAAAGGTTCAGCTAAATCCAACATTTAACACTCAAGTACTGTACTCTTAAGATGATATTGGAACACATGCTTGGCATCTCAGAACAATATTTTCCTCAAGTGAGATAAAATATTGCAACGGGTATGAATATATGAAACATCTTCTTTTATGAAACATCAAGGGAGTATTCTCAAAATGTAAACACTTCAGTGAGATAATTTTCTGGAAAACACGAAAGAAGGCAGAAATTTACCAAGTCTTCAATGTTTCCATAAATATTTTTCTTCATTCCCGACGCTCTTGTCGCTACCCATCCTCCAAGAGTACTGAACTCCATGGAATCTGGTTCATGGCCTGTACAGTAGCCACTTTCACCCAACTAAAGAAAGGAAAGAACAATTCATTATTGCAACCTTTTTATAAGGGCGAAAAGCTTTCAGCAAAAAAATTCTGTTGACACACGAGTACTTCTTTAGCAGGAAAAAGGTTATCTTGAAGCAACAGAAATACTTCTGTTTGAGACTAGTTTTAACCAACGCTTATTCTTAATTGATGGTAGACACTAATATCTGCTTCTATGCTTTCTTCCAGTGTGCAAGTGTGTATTAGAGTAAAGTAGTGCAGCACAATGCTTCACTGTTGTGACAATTTATTGTATTACATAAATTATTTTGACAAGAGTAGTACAGTAGAGTCTCGCTTATCCAACCTTCACTCATCCAACATTCTGTATTATCCAACGCAGTTTGCCTCCCGCCCGGATCCATAGCTGTTTCAATACAGCTAAATTTGAAAATACAGTAATTACTACATAACATTACCATGTACTGAACTGCTTTTTCTGTTGATTTGTAGTAAAACATGATGTTTTGGTGCTTTATTTGTAAAAATATAACGTAATTTGACATTTAATAGGCTTTTCCTTAATTGCTCCTTATTATCCAACATTTTCACTTATCCACTGTTCTGCCAGCCCGTTTATGTTGGATAAGCAAGACCCTACTGTATTGTAAGAAATGCTGCAAGTTTGTCTTCCTCTGTCTCAAGTTAACACTGTACCATGCCCATGACCAAATAAAGGGAGAACATTAACATGAAGAATAATAACCAAACATTACATTGCGAACTGGATTTAGACCTCTGGTATTATTCCCCTGTAAAACACTGCCTTATACATTTCCATACTTGCAAAAATCTAAATGTAACTAGCAAGAATATCCCAGAGAGTACAATACTATCCAGAAGACTGCAACTAAACATTTTCATACAAAAAAACAAACCCATAAAACAAACACCTATTTGTAGGTTGTGTTACATCGTTTGCGGCTGGTCTGCAGAAATTCCGAACAACTGATTGAGGAGAAGAGCTCTCTTAATACACAGCCATCTGGCTGGGAATTCTGTAGGTAATACGACAACATATTTGCTAGGCAGATCAGGAATCCCTATACATTTGTCACTGGTTTCATTTTTCTTTATTAGTTTGGCTCTGCCATCTGCGTTGCCTCAGAGAGATTGAATGAAACGCCTTTACATGCTGACCCCACAGCTACCCTAGCAGAGGGACTCGACAAACAAAGCAGTCTCTCTTATGCCAAGTGGATCAGCCAGCAGTCACGTGTACAGAGCCTGAAACCACATTCTGGGCTGAAAAAGGTTTGGAAAATGGATTATTTAATAACGCTAAATACAGGTTGAATATCTCTGAAGTGCCAGCAAACAACCTATTTCCTGAATGGCTCAAAGGCCCTAAATATCAAATATTAGTCTTTTCTACTCTATTACAGACTAGGATATGATTACTATTTATGAGATTTCATGGGTGCAGAGGATCACAGCATGCCCAAAACATAAAGATGTACTTGTCAATGCAAGAAATCTTGGGCTGTTGTAAGGCAAAAGGTAGCCAAACACAAAGATAATAAACAGGCTCAGTAAAAATAAGATAGAGCTTTGCAGAAAAACAAGAGTCAGCCACAGCTAATCTCAGCAGGGAGAAAGGGATGCTCAAACTGGAGGCTGACTCTCACAGCATTAGACTATTAAGATTATATGGGAACAACCTTAGTGACCACGTTCAGATGTTACATGAAACTATGATCTAGTATGAACTCTATTTGAAACACAAATTATACATTTTAGCTATCAAATATAAGGGTAAGCTATCTTTTAGAATGAGTCTTTTCTATCTGTTCAAGCTACCTACTCTGTCCCATGTTGTCCCATGTGCAACAGAGATGCACAAACCTCTAAAAAACAACAGGTTTGAAAGGCTACTGCAAACCATGGTTTAGGGAGTCTAATCACAAATCATAGTATATCAGTTCAGGCAGAGCTCCCATTTGAGACAAATAATTTTTAGGCAAGTATATATGTAGCACAATGTAAATCGGTGCATAACTATGGTATTAATTTCAAAACTTTGAAAAACACAATTAACAACCGATTACTGAACAGTTTAGTAAACAGTTAATCTTACTTCATTTTTAAATGCATATAACAGTTGCTCTTTGAAAAGTTCATTCTATACACAGTGTAAATACTGTATATTATGAACCCTGTTTTCGCATGGGTAGGGATTCATGTTGTACAGGGAATGTATGAACATAGCATCTTTGCAGCTTGTCCAAATAATTTCTGTATTTCCTATACAACACAACATTTTCCATTCTGGTGCCGAAATCAAAAGCATTCAAGAGATCTGGATCACTCACTGGGCTGTTGTTTCATATATCATGGAAACAATCTTGCAGCAGTTGCTAAATAATGTATGTTTTGAATGTTACAGGAAGTCTCCTGACCTCCCTTCATGACTTAGCACAAGAAAAAGGGATATAACTCCAGAATCATGCTTCTTGTGTCAAAATCTAAGCATAAATCCAACACTATACGGACACTGTGATGCTAGAATTTTGTTTTCCTTTCTGCAGGTCTGTGTACCATAAAAGAACTAGTTCTGGAAAGTTCTTCAGATCCCCAAATACCATCATTGGTTTCCTGGTCTTGGCAGAACACTGCCTCAATCTATATTTATATCCAGAGGTGATATGGATGTATACAAGCCGTCTAAAATATACACTAAAAATTCTATTCAAAGCTCCGAAACAGAAATGGCTGGAATTTAGTGTTTTAGTTTCAAAGAACGAAACTGCCAGAAAAGAAGCTATTATACTTTATTCTAGTGGGACAAAAGATTCTGTGGCATTTCAAGAATGGAGCAGTTGGTGAAACATCAGAAGTTACTAGCCTGGAAAAATGTCATTTAAATTAAGGGAATATGCTCTGTGCATTTTAATTTTAACCTTTAAAAAAGTACAGCTCTGGAAAGGTTAAAATACTACATCAAATGATAAGAGGATATAAAAATAAAAAGTATGAAAGGCCAGCTCATCAGAAAGTGCTGTGTTAGGGGTTCTAACAAAAACCAGTTTTTGGAAAACTCTACTGAATCTCCCTCCCTTTATTGTGAGGCCCCTGAAACAGAAATAGCAAGAATCCAAGTATGTTTTTCAAGCACGTATAATATTTTTAATAAATAAATAACTGCTTTAAATCCAGTCTTTCATAAAAGAACAACTAGCAGATTTCAGAATTAAGAAATCAGTTACCTAGCAAAGCGCAAGAATATTTTTATCATCTGTTACTTACTGAAACAGTGCAAAGGGCTATATCAGGGTTGTTGTAGGTTTTTTCAGACTATATGGCCATGGTCTAGAGGCATTCTCTCCTAACGTTTCGCCTGCATCTATGGCAAGCATCCTCAGAGGTAGTGAGCAGGCTATATCAGGCTTTACAACAAGCAAGTCTATTACATTTCTGGGTGTCTCTGTTCCCATCATCCTCAGGCCTTCCCTTCTTTAGTTAAGAGACTTGTGAAGGCTATAAACTGGATCATTAAAACCTTTTCAGTTATGAATACAACATCATAATTTAGAATGATATAACAGCTCTTTTTATGTAGATTATGAGCCAAATTCCTCTTCATTATGAGTATTGCTCTCATGGAAAACACATTTTAAACATTTCCTGCATTGTATTTTGAAACAGAAATAAGAACGTGTTGTCAAAGGCTTTCATGGCTGGAATCACTGGGTTGCTGTGAGTTTTCTGGGCTGTTATCCTCAGAGGTTGTGCAGTCTGTTGGAAACATCAGAAGTTACTAGCCTGGAAAAATGTATGTTGGAAACGTGCCTAGTTTCCAACAGACCTCAAAACCTCTGAGGATAACTGCCATAGATGTGGGCGAAATGTCAGGAGAGAATGCTTCTGGAACATGGCCAGACAGCCCGGAAAACTCCCTGCAACCCAGAAATAGGAATATTTGACTACTTTAATTTTTGAATGTCATACAGGTTTAGCTATATTGCTTTAATGTGTGGGTCCCATATGGGAGAAAAGCAGAATACAAAGTAAATGTATGCAGGTATCTATGTGTGCAAGTTTGAAAGCTAAAACTATGAACTTAACATGTTGGTTTTGACCTAAAAGACAGAAATGCTTTGAGGCCATTATATCTGAAAGGCTGCCTCCTCCCAGAGCCTGTGTAGTATTTGACAATACACACAGAAATAAAGCTACAATAATTATTGAAGAAACAAGTTGAAAATACCTGTCTTTCCAAGTCTTGTCCAGCAATGCCTGCTTCAACGTGAGCAGTCAAGTTTTTCTCATCTATCCAATGAATCCTATTCTATTGCAAAGGAAGAAAAAAGACTCATGAAACAATCAAATCTTTAATAAAAGAGGCAGTTTCCCCAACATATTCCATAGAAGCTGGAAAGCACACATTTCTATGAACAACTGCTCAGGAGCCAATTCTTCTCCTCACACTTTCAATTACCTTTATGAAAAAAGTCTAACAAAGAAGATATGTGTGTGTGTGTATATTTTTATTTGTTTTTGTTTGTTTAAATTTTATTTGTTTATACTAGGGGTGGGGAAAGTGCAGCCTTCCCCATATAAGGAAGCCCCCTTATAACTTCCCCCAAACTGCTCTCTCATATATATATAATAAAATCAAAATAAGTTATTTTTCCTCTTTCTGGTGTTATAATGGCATGAAAACAATCCCTAAAATTCAAATAAAGACCAATGTTTTACATCCATGCCCTATGCCAACAGAATTGGAACTTTATTCCGTTCCTACCCCAGCCTTCCATGACACCCACACCACACTTTATAGAGGGTCTCCCTATTATCTAGAGCAGGGTCATAGAGTTATGGAGGAAGAGGTAGCTGCACCAGACAACCATGAAAAGAATTGAATCCAACAGAAGTAGACTGCTGGACGGAGACTGAAGCAAAATGGCAGATAGTTATTAAGGCATAGATATTAATGTAAGAATTAAGGATTCTGCCCAAGCACAAGGTTACTAGCTATTTGAAATAGATTTCATGATACATCAATTTTATCAATAATATAATGCAAAAATAAATCAAGACCAAATCTTCGAAACCGTGAAAGATACCAATGTAGCAGAAAGCAGTTGCTTATTTATGGTCATGATTTTAAAGATAATATGACTAATAACTAATACAAATCCTAAGCGATGAAGTGGAATCACTCAGATTTGGCCAACATAATATCATGCACAGAAATCTAATGCAAAGGATGCTGCTCAGATTGCCTGATAATAACAGTATGTGCAAGAGATATAAAATAGTATCTTGTACTACACAATATTAACTTAAACCAGAAGTGCATATTTTATTGTACACGGGAATACAACTCCGTGTTGATCTTGCCCCCTTAAAACTGCCCCACTAAGTTATTCAAATATCCCATGGTCTCAGATCTGAAATATTTTATAAAGATCAATGAACAATCAAATCCAGTGACGGTATTTATATTAGACTGACCAAATGTGACAGAAAGCACTAGGTTTAGGATATGAGAAAGTCTGGGTCAGATGTACATTCAGCTACCTGGCCCTGTACAATTCTAGATAACATTTTGGATAGAGAATAATACATTAGTGTCAACATTGGAGACATTTATGGGGAGCTTCCCTCTGATCTTGGTTGTCAGGTAAAGAATGCTTGCTTGAGTAACACCCTGGAGTATTTCCAGGGAAATATTTCTACCATAAATATTTATTTTGGCAGGAATGGGGGCATTGCTTGAAAAGGTTTATTCACATACCATCTGTGAGGTGTCCAGTGAAACAATGGTTCTTTTTTCCTCAGGAGGACACTCCAGAGCACTGGAAACACTTGTCCCTCCTACAGAAATAACACAGAAATACATCAACATTTGAAGACATTTGTCTTGAATTTAGTTATTTACACTTAATCAAATAGGGAGTTATAAAAAGCATGTCTACATGCATGCAGGCACACACTCATGTGCACTGTACACACAGACAATTTTAATAATTGTATTTGAAAGTTTGGAGACTTCCATAAGCAGAATGTGCTATAGCAAAGGAGTCTGCCATTCAAAGCAAACAAACTCATTAAGCATACTCCACTCATTAGCTATGCCTCAAGTAGCTCTTGGATCCAGGCCACTAAAGACAAAGAAACAAATATTTTCCTGAAGTTGCTAAATAGCTGCATTACTTACCACCATATGGTATAATACAAACACTATGTTTGCAGGCTAGTTCCACAATTTTAACTACATCTTCATGGCACTCTATAAGAAAAAACAAACATAAAAAACAAATACAGAATTAAAATGCATCCCAATATATTTATTGTAACAATCAATTAATTACAGAATATTTAGAATTACTTTTATATTCAAGTATTTTGGCTTGCCTTTACTATAAATTAAGAGGTCATACTTCTGTTAAAGAAATAAATCAATGTCCCTCACATTTTTGACAGGATGAAAAGGAATTCCCAAACAAAAGCAAACATTGGTTGTACAGAGCAAATAAAACCATACGTAGCACTTGCATGAAAAACTGTGAATGAGTCAAGAATATCAATTCAATTTTTGTAATTTATATACTGCTTTAAAAACAGTTTATGCCCAAACATGATGTATAAAAATATCATAACATGTAAAACTAAAAGCTACAAAAATTGAATATAAATCAGAACAAAATGAAAACTGAACAAATATCAAATTATAGACTCATAAAAATAAAGCTAGGTAGAACAAACAAAGCAAACCCAAAGGAACCTACATACCTATTAGTCCCAAAATCCTGGCTGAAAAATTAGACTTTTGCTTGGCGCTGAAAATACTGGGGCCTGACTGACTTTTTTAGCTCTACTAAAGCTAGCACTACAAAGGAAAAGTGCAAGTTGTTTCTAGTAAGCAGCTAGTGAATTTAAGTTAGGAACATAGAGAAAGTCTTTATATGTTAGCTGAAATAATCAGGAGCTATGGGTAGTGCTGGGGAGGGGAGGAATAGAACCAAGCAAAGAGAATTAACAGGTATACTCATGTATAAGTATACCTCATGTATAAATCGTGGGCAGGTTTGGGAGACAGAATTATGGTTTTTGATATGACAAAACAGAAAGTACTAGTAATGTTGTTTCAGGGGGCAAACCGCCCCAAGGATTTTCCCACCCAGGTATTCAAAAAGGTCAGATGGCATTTTATTTTGTTGTACAATATACAATGACAATAAAGTTATTCTATTCTATTTGTGGCCCCATTGGAGAGAGGTTCGAGAGGGTCAATGATTCTTTTAGATTTTTCGGTATGGACTACATTCCTGCCTTTTGCCACTTTATTCAGAGAAGGTGATGGTTCCTATATATATTAGGGCTGGGCGGTTTAGTTCGTTAATTTCATAATTCGTTATTAATTCATTATTTTTTTTGATAACGAAGCGATATTGAACCATTCAGGAGCAACTAAAAAACGAAACGAATTTTTCCAATTCGTTTCGTAATTGTTTTGTTATTATTTCGTTATTATTTCCGTATGTCTGGTGCAAGTTTTATAGTTGTTGTTTGTTTTATCAGTGATTAAAAAAAATTATCACACCAACAGTCAACAACAGAGGGAGAGGGAAGCTTCAGAAGTTCCCCCTGTCCCATTTGGAGGGTTTTTTTAGCGTATTGCGCAATCGCGTCCGCCATTAACGAATCGATTCGTTATTGTTTCGAAATTGTTTCGTAATTTCCGAAATTTCGTAAATATCGAACTTTTTAAAAGAAAAATTTCGGAATTCTTTTAAATAACTAAACGCAAAAAACCCCTAAAAACGAATCGAATTTAGAAACAAATTTTTCCGTGGTTGGACAGCCCTAATATATATACATACACACGCGCACGCACACACGAGTTAAGGTACAGTACTTACACTGACCTGTGGATAAGCTGGCTAATTTCTGACTTTTTTTTAGATATATTCTTGCATATATAAGGTAAGTATCTCACTGTGTGTATGCATGTATGTCTGTGTCATCATTCAACCTCTGAACCCATGGTCATCCAGTGATTTTAAAGGAGCAGTAGGATATAGCTCTGATAGGTTCATACAGGAATTTGTACTAATAGGGAATGCTAGGTAAAACAGTGTACTCTGCAGAAATATATTCAAGCCGGGTAAGCACCAGCTTAGTTCCAAGATCCGTAATCTAAACTAACCAGTTCCTACATCTGCAAAGCTATTTAATCAGCGAGCTGTATAGGCTTGAAAATGCCAGCATAAGTATACTTTTACTTTTTAATAACAATCAGTTACAGAAAGATCTGCTCTTGAAGTTACTAGTACAAACAGCTGTATTCAAAGTAAAAATAAATAAATACATAAATAAAAAGAATATTGGTGCACATGGGATCATGCATCAGTTGCTTTATGTTTCTTAGGTTGTGTTAGGGATATTATTCTTTTCACTTTGGAAGACACTAAAAGAGGCACTAAACAAGTAGAGATGGAAACTCTGTTTTAGGAAGGCCTTACTCCATGTTGCATCAGCAACCACCTCGAGTTGCCTTCGGGCTGTTTGAAATTTTACCATGGCAATTTAATGATGATATTTTCAATTATCTTTTAACTTAATCAAATTTGAATGTATGTTAGTTCACTATTATGGGAGTCTTAGGATAGTGATTACTGTCTATTTGTGTACGTTTCTGTTTTTGTTTTTAATGTTGATACGGTCAGTGGACTAATCAATAAACTTTGCTTGCCTTCGGGCTGAGAGGGGCGGTATACAAATAAAGTAAATAAATAATAAATAAATAAACAACATTCACAGACTGGCATAAATTCCAAGGGCCATTCTGCATTTCACAACATCTGCCAAGTGCTTTCCCAATATCACCACAAAAACCGATCTGAATACCTAATGTTGTTATATGGGAATTAATGGAGAACAAAGCCTGTGAAGAATGAGAATATTGAGAAGAGCTTACCTGGCCATACAACTACATCAGGAATTCGTTTAAACATTCCTTCCCTGAGCAAAAATATCTCATGGAGACAATGACCTGAAACACAAAGGGAGGAAGTCTTACAGAAGTAACTATTTTATTTTATTTTATTAAAAAAGATAACATATACTCTTTTGTGTATGGATTTTTGCTTACCATGAGCTCTAAATACTCTAGATTCCGCTTCTTGGGAATATGGTATTTTTGTCATTTGAAGATCTTGGAGAAATTCTTCACTTGCAATGGAGGGAGGTACATCACTAATATTTAAAGATGCCTTCAACGGAAAAAACAAACACAATGTACACTACCAATTGTATAAAATCCCCCAGAGACTCATAGTGCTTTTGCACACACCACAGGATAAGCAACCCTTTCAATTTTGCCAGCATTTCAAACTGTGAAAACACAAGGACTGGGCAGACTATTATTCGGCAAGTGCTTTTCCTCCACCTAAGGCTTCTGCATCGAACTACACAGAGAGCTGGCTGCTAAAATATTGCTCTCACTGGCATTAACTAAAGAAGGCTATAGTTTGTGAATGGGAGATAAGGGCTCTAAGGAATGAAGATGTTAATTAACACTTGTATTTATCCACACTGTTTCTCTTTAACTCTACCAGAACACATTTACAAGGCCATTTGCAAGTTCGTTTTATGAGATGTTGAGCTTGTTCCCTTAGATTTAATTCTGTTCCCTTCTCTGGAAAACAGTCCTGCTTCTCAAATGATGTCTGTCACCATTTCTATTCATTATTTCTACAGCAATAATTTTTAAATATGTTTAATGTAATAATCCACTCCAACACTTGGCAGTCAAGTTCACTGCAATAAAATCTAACCTAAGAAAACAAGCAGTGGTTATGGCTGAACAGCAGCCAAGTCATTCTGCTAACTTCTGTTCCCCAAACTCAAGGTGCATTTTTCTTAGATTAAATCTCTACTAAATTTTAATCTTGGAAAATAAGCTCATTGGGAATTACTCTAAAGAATACAACTATGTTTAATAAGTAATGAAAATATCAAATTTTTTAGATTAATAATGCACCTAAAATGTTATCCAAAATGACTGAAACTTGTAGCCTCACTTTGACCCCCATGGGTTTTTGGGGCATAAATTCAGACTTGAGTTTACCATACATTTAAAATAACTACTCTCTGAAAATGTTAGCTAATATTAGAACAGACTGCTGTGTACATTTTACAATAAAAAGCTATACAGGACCTCCTTCCCCAAGCAAGGTTTCTTCACAGAAAAGAATATTCTCAGTGTTTTGTTTTAAATGTTAGTTCTCAAAAAGCACAATTTTACTGTTATTGCTCAGTTGCAGGATGCAGCTGATTGGTCTCTTTTAAAAGAAACAAGACAATGGAAGGCAAACATTTATTTCACTTCTTGGAAGAAGTTTTTTTGCAGCTTTCCTGATTATGTCTCTCTCTTCTCAACTAACACTTAGGAATGTGTCCAATGCAAGAAGCAGAAATTTAGCAGAATTGAGGACGTTCAAAGAGACTTTCCGTACTCACACTATTTACTGCTCTGGGAGCATTGCTTAAATGGGAGGTGGTGTGCTGAAACCACCAGTGCATGAAGGCACTCAGAAGGAAGTTTTCCCTAAGGGCACACCCTTCTTCTACTTCTGGTCACTTATGTGGTATTGAATATTGCCACGTTCTAAGCCGCTCTGAGTCTCCCTTGGGGTGAGAGAGAGCAGGATATAAATATAATAAATAAATAAATAAATGATATCTGTTATAGACACTCTGGGATCATTCACTGCACTCTTTTGACACAAAGATTTCTGAAATAATCAAATGAGCAATCTTCCAAGGAATATTAATGCTTCTCTCCAATCATAACAATGTGCTGTGTCTGTTCAGAGACTATCAGCCTCCATGAATCTATGTGTTTGGATACAATTTGAGCACCCAAGTGACTTATTAGTACAGTTGGCAACAGGGTGGGAGAGAACACAATCCATAGCAAAAATATTTTTTAAAGCACGGAGGGATGTCTCATGTGTGTCAGCAGCCACCCTAGCTGGAGTATAAATCTTACAAGAAAAATGCATGTAGGCATGTTTAGAAATGCTATAACTGATTTTTTAAAAATCAATTTAAAATAAAATTAATTAACAGCAGCAGAAAGTGTGTGCAAAACTAAAATTGCTTTCAATTGTGTAATAGACAGAAACATCAGCCAATTTGGAGAGACACATTAGGCTGAAAAAAGCACAAAATTTTCAAAAGCAGAGTGCATCAAATTAAAAAAAAACTGTAGTGCATTCTTAAAAGAGCTGTGAACCCAAGAACATGACAGGCAGACACTTCCAGCAGAAGAATAGACTGCCACTGTCTAAGTTACTTTACGGATCAGTTCAACCACATGACAAGAAACTGCAAGAGTCACATGTGAGTTACAAAACAATTTTTCATTTTGTTACTTACTCTAGGGGTAATTTTATGCTCCAGACTTCCTCCAACGTTTTTCTCTAACCATTCTTTCAAAAGAGGGAATACAATTCCACCTATCCGATACCTGAATTCAAAAACATTTAGTCAGTTACTTATAACATTTGTTCAGAGTTTCATAAATGACATAATGAAATCTGACACAGTAAGTTTTCCAAGCAACAAATTACCTAAGCCTGAAGTAAGAAAAGAACATTTTGGTCTAGGTGAGTAATAAAATGGCTTGCACCCAATCTCACATGATAAGTGAGCATTCAGTCCCAGCATGCCAAATGATGAACAGAAAAAATAATAATATAGACACTGATAGTTTCTGAAAAAAGACTATTCAGTAAAGATCTTTGAGTCCCAGGAAGCCTACATAAAACACTGAAATGGCAAGCAAAATCACCTGGGATGTACTAATACTGTCAGAATGTATGTTGTTTGAATGCCATTACTCAGTGTATAAAATCCTGGGATTTGTAGTTTGGTGAGTCCCCAGCCCTCTTTGGCAATGAAGGCTAAAAAGCTCATAGAAGTACAGCTCCCAAGATTCCATAGCATTGAGCCTGGGCAGTTAAAGTGGTGTAACGGCACACCTTTTTGATCAAATTACAAAAAATTCACTTTTTGCCACTGCACATTACATTTGCCAGCAAATACTTTTGGGGGTTTCAGGATTTTGAGGTGTGCATTCCATTTGATGGCACACTAGATTCGAGTAAATATGGTAATTGTGTGAAATCAGATTCCATTACGAACTTAAACTGAAAAAAAACAAACCCTTGTATTTCCTGAAAACAAGAAGTGGCATGATAATGCTTTTAGAAATACAAATCCATGTTGCAATCACATTTGGAAAGTTGTAGATGTGCCAAAAGGTGGTTTTGGAATCGGGAAAGGGTGCTCAAAATGATGGGGTACAGGGGCTGAACATTTTCCCTATGAGGAAAGCCTAAAACATTTGTAATGTTTTGACTTAGAAAAGCGTCTTATAAAAATTATGCATGCAGTGAAAAAAAAAGAATGGAAATAAGTCTACAATAATCTCTGGTAGAATTATGTATGTGTGTATAGATTACATAGTACCACAGAACTACAATTTTCAATCTACACTTTTGCTTCTCATGGGAGAGGCAGAAATCAAAGGCCAAAAGCCTCTTTATTCTGTTACCTATGAAGGAGGGGTTTGGTTTTGTTTATCGGTGACAGATGAAGACTGGATATTTGTCCAAGCACTTATCAATCGTAGAAAACACTTGGATCCATAATAACATACAGCAAACTGTTTTAGAGTTATGAAAGGTTTGTGTGTCTCCCTTGGCAATGTAAGTCAAATTTTGGATATGTGATCTGGACTAAAACGTATACAAGTTTCCAATTTATGATCAATTGAGTAGAACAGTTGTTTGATTTTACTGAAGAACAAGTGCTATTGTATACTATAAATCACTTATTTCCTGACTCCTAAAAAATACAAATTCTTTAGTTTCATTTTAAAATATTCAACCTCCACACAGCATTTCTGTAAAACTTTTTCAAAAAGAACAGCAGATATTGATCATACAATATCCAAAGTTGCTACCTTTTTCCTGTGAATTCAGCATGCCCCTTCTTATTGAATATGAATCTGGAATCATTGTATCCCCATCCATTCCACTTTAAAACTTCTTGCCTAAAAGGGGAAGAAAGATTAAAACAAGAGAGATATTGACAAGCTGGAATGTGTCCAGAGGAGGGCGACTAAAATGATCAAGGGTCTGGAGAACAAGCCCTATGAGGAGCGCCTTAGGGAACTGGGCATGTTTAGCCTGAAGAAGAGAAGGCTGAGAGGAGATATGATAGCCATGTATAAATATGTGAGAGGAAGCCACAGGGAGGAGGGAGCAAGCTTGTTTTCTGCTTCCTTGGAGACTAGGACGCGGAACAATGGCTTCAAACTACAAGAGAGGAGATTCCATCTGAACATTAGGAAGAACTTCCTGACTGTGAGAGCCGTTCAGCAGTGGAACTCTCTGCCCCGGAGTGTGGTGGAGGCTCCTTCTTTGGAAGCTTTTAAGCAGAGGCTGGATGGCCATTTGTCAGGGGTGATTTGAATGCAATATTCCTTCTTCTTGGCAGGGGGTTGGACTGGATGGCCCATGAGGTCTCTTCCAACTCTTTGATTCTATGATTCTATGATTCTAAGTATAACTTGTTGTTTCATTATAAACAACCTGTAAATTATTCTGATACATTGTCCAATGTAAGAAAGCATGATATCAGTTTTAGAGTTTATCTAATAAATCCCTGAAACTATACATAGGAGGTCCATTATTTTTGATACTAGTAAAGCTTTACTAAAGTGGAAGATACCAAATAAATTATTACCTAAAACACATAACCCAGGTTGTGATCAAGACACACAATTTAATATTTTTCTGCTGTTCTGCTCTGCAAAGTTTCGGTCACTTTCGTATCATTTTAAAATCAGAAACCCAGTGACATATCCTTACATCCCTTAAGTTTTAATGGATTTCAACTGTGGATTTTTAATACTGTTTATATTTTATTCTGTTTTAATGTTTGCATATTTGTATATTTTAAATTGTATGCTAACACTTAAGCCACTTTGAATCTCCTTTGGGAGAGATAAAGCAGGGTATAAATAAATATATTTTTTCATGTCAGAAGTGACTAGAGAAACTGCAAGCCGCTTCTGGGGTGAGAGAATTGGCTGTCCAGGGGATTCACGGATGTTTTACCATCCTATGGGAGGCTTCTCTCATGTCCCCACATGGCAGCTCACCCCATCTCGCAGATTCAACCACCAACTTTCAGGTTAACAGTTCAGCCAACACAAGAGTTTAACCCACTGTGCCATCGCGGTTCCTTATAAATAAATAAATAAATAAATATAATGATGATGATGACGGTATCTGGATAACTAGTCCTTCAGTCTTCACCCTATTTGTTCCATGAATGGTTTGTAGCAGGATTCAGAATTTTACACAGAGATGTATACTGAAGTTTATGGTACTGAAATGACCACATCACTGTATGTCACACACTAGCATTGCTCTAAAATTGTCGGCAATTTTTTCCCAATAGTTTAAACCAGTGTTACTCAGAGTGGTGGTCCCTGAACTACTGGCTGCCAGTTCCTGGCATGCTTCTGTAAAGAAAAGAACAAATATAGTCAATGGACACAAATATGGTTCTATTCTCTGGAATATTGCAAAACGAAATATAGTAATAATTGTCAGTTTCACATGAGAAGAATTGGTTTAAGCCATTGAAGAAGAATATAACTGGTTAAAAGAGCTTGAGAAGTAGAATGAAATTTGCATATCAAGATTATTCACCAGGCATGAAGCTGTACTTGTAACAGGTAAGACGAAAGGTCTGCTGTCAGACTGCTGACAGACTTACTAGAGCTAAGACTGCATAAGGGCAAATATGCCTTAGTTAAAGCAGCAGATCTAATCCCTCCTGTTGCTCAAATCATAGAAGCATAAAAGGAAAGGAAAGGAACCTACATCTCTAGGATATCCATTTTAAAATAATAATTTTAAAAATAATAATTATGCAAAAGAAGATGGTGGAAAATGCATTTCCATAGAAACATGATTCAAAACTTTAAAACTATGAAAAGGCCCTATTAAAATAACCTTTCAAAATGCTTTCATTTGGCAATTCTACGCATTCAAAGCAGACATGATCACTTTCCTTTACAAAGCAACACAGATACCGCATTCCCTTATTTTCCCCAAGGAAATGAGTAGCAACCCAATTATGGGTGCTATGATTAAGAAATGTAGCCAAGAGAAAGTGAAGACTCACAAAGCAGCATCCACAAGGTGGCACTATTTCTATATAGTTGAATGAGAGTCACAGCCTTTTATTCAGAAGACTTAAGCTTTCCTTACAGTTGATATCAGAAATAAAGCCAAGTCACTACAGCTTAAATCATTCATGAACAAAGAGGTAGAAAAAAGGTCAGATTTTAAAATGTGCATTTACATTGCAAATGCTGCTTCCTTTAATTCAATTTTTCAGTTGTGCCTTCAGCTTAATATTTGAGATTCCCTTGAGTTTCATTTCTAGGTTTGTCCTCAGTGTTCCATGAAGACTGTTTGGCAGTCAGATGCCTATATATCTGCATAGAGTACATTTCCCCTCAAAGCTCTGGAAAAACAAAAAGGAAATGAATTTTTTAGGAAATAAATTCAGATCCCGCATTATTTTTGAAAAAATCTAGACTGATATGCTGCTTACCACAAATTGATCTCTCATACAGGTATTTAATTCTCTTATCACATAAAATTGCTTCAAGTAGCTGTCAAACCTCAAAAATATCTTCCCTTCCAACTGTATTCTCTTGAAATTTTCATGCCAAAAACAATCTTATCTGGAAGTTCATGTTTCCAAACTAAAAATTCCAAAACATGTCACAAAGCACATTATGTGAAGCCCAGTGGAGATCAAGGAAATAAAAGACCTTGACTCTTCTACATTATGTGAGATTTAAAAAGTCCCATTTAATTTTAGTCAGCAAACTAAAGTATGAATATTGTACAAGTCAAATCAAGAACATTACCATTCAAATCTAATCAAATCTGATATACATTTTAGCTGGCTATCTTCAGAATGCATATTATGTACATAGCTCTTAAGGCATACTAGAAATAAGGTGTTAATATAGTATAATCCCAGTATCATGAAGATATATTCTTGGACTTTGCATAGTTATACAAACCATATGGCAATGAAGGACCATAGAGTTGCATTGGGGACCTGAAAATGCCTATAGAGGATATTTTTGTATAAGATGAATTCCTTATACAGGGATCAAACTATATGTTTTGTAAGATGTTGAACAGATCCTCCCCTCTGCATTGATCTGCACCTAACAAAAAGTCTCTTCAGAGGTCTGGAAGACTCTCTTAAGACATGCTCACTGAAACATGGAGAATTAGCTACAAATAAGAGGAGCTTCTACCAACTTCAACTCCTTATAAACCATCTAGAATGTTAAGATCTTCTGGGGAGGCCCTGCTTTCGGACCCACCTTCCTCGAAGATGCGTTTGGCAGGGACGAGAGAAAGGGCCTTCTCAGTGATGGCCCCTTGACTGTGGAACACTCTGCCTAGGGATATAAGATCGGCCCCCTCCCTTCTGACCTTTTTGAGCCGGCCTTTTGCTAATGCAGCATAATTATACAAAATTATGGGACTTGACAATGCAACTGAATAATGACTTTGACAAGGAGATGCTCACAACTATGTTTTTATGGCTTTGTACAGATTTTTTTATACTTTTATATGTTACGCTAAATGTTTTTAACAGTATTTTATTATTCTTTTCTTTATTTATAATTATTGAGGCATCAAATTGTTGCTGCCTGTGAACGACTCTGAGTTACCTCCAGGCTGAGAAAGGCGGTATACAAATATGATAAATAAATAAATAAACTTCAACAGTATCCCTTCCTTTTACAAACTTTCTGAAACCAGTTCATCTTAAGATTCATGTTGTGAAAGATCCATGAGCCCAGTTTCATCATTACTAAAGGCAGGGGGTGGTGAGGATTTCATCAGATTCGCCCTTCCCTCCGCAGCCTCAATTTAATCATCTTAAAAATGTGCCTCAAAAACAAAAAACTGCCTCCCACAACATGTTCCAGTGGGAGGTGCTGGTAGATTTCAGCTTCTTCCACAAATGGAGGGCGTTCTCCTTTATGTGGAAAGGTAAGTGTGAATCAAACTAATTGTCTTCATTGCTGTGAGATAAGCTTTCATTTAACATGCACATAATTTCATTCATGTTTTACCTACCAATCTCATCATCAGTACTTATCCAACACTATCTTACTCATCAAAATGACATAATCAGCCCATGCGGTTTATTGTCTCTCATTATTTTTAGAACTATATAGCCAATTAAGTGTCTGTTGAACTAATGACACTTCTAATAATTTAAAATAGGTTTTTATATTCAGGTCATTATATACCCTAGTCAAGTTATAGTTGTCTTGACAAAAAGGTCAGAGGTAAGCTGTAATGTGAAATTGGAGAATAAATCAATTAATTGAGATGTTCAGTTTTGTCACCTACAGCTTGGATCAAGATACCAAGTTTTTCACACTACATGAGTTCATAAACTGACAAATAGAAAAAGGATGTCTGTGTTGTAACCAACTGTCTTGAGAAAGCCACCGTTAATGCAACTGTCATTATCTGTGCTTTCTGCATGGTACTTCTCTTGGCCTTTACCTTTTGCAGCTACCCATCTCCTACACAAGTACAGATATCTGAATTAAAACCACGATTCCTGCACACTGACTATATTAGCAGGGACTTAGGAGAGGTGTCATCCAGAATATCTGGATCAGTGATTTATACCATGCCATCAATATAGCCTTAAAAAAACTTTGCAGCACAAGTGGGAAGTTTACTGAGTCTTTTGTTTCAGAATTGTGATTGGGTTATACTAGGATCAAGGTGAGTATCTTTAATCACAATACAGCCAGACATTCAAGCCAAATCTAACCATCAGAGTATAAAAATGGAAGTCTCCAATGTAGAAAGGACAGGAAATAATAAGTGCAAGGTTAAACTGAATAAATCCAAACTATATACTGCTGAAACCAGAAATTGTATAAAAATGTAAATCAAACCCAGTGAATATCAAGAT